AGGAAAAGTGACAAAAGAAAACAGAAGTGAGGGAAATGAGGTAGAGAAGCAGCTGGACTGGTTATAGCTTGGTGTTTGCCTATATGAACATGGTGTAGAAGGGGCTGTCTGAGACTGAAGCACGACTGCTGTGATTGGCTGTGACTCACCAATCTGTTAAGGAAGCATATTCTCAAGTGAGCTTGTGGTTTATAAGAACTAAAGTATATGAGTACAGAGGTCTTCTCAGGCCAATATAGTTTAACAAACCTAAGATGAGTAGAAGGAAAGATATTTTTCCTCCACTATAAGGTAAAGTAACTTTGCCTAACTACACTCTCAGGCTAGAGGGCTATCTAAGGGGAGAAGGCTTTATGGCATAATGAGACTCTGGAGGATGCCTATCTCTAGCTCAATGAAAGATATAAGCTTTAAAGAGAGAGAGAGATCTGCTTTGTGCGTAGAGTGCATTCAACATGATGAAAAACTACAACTCAATAAAAGATCAGGGTAGCTGAAGTCAGAAAAGTGAACTGGATCCAAACCAAGGAGGCCCAAACTTATGGGTATGAAGACAGTCAGGGATCAATTTTGCCATACACCTGATTGTTAAGCCTCCTGGCTTTTATTTCTCCTTATCTCACCTGCTCAAGTCTTGTTTCCAAAATGGCTTTAAAGTCTCTTCATTCTTGTCTGGCACTCTTTTGTCCTTAGTTCACACAAGATTTGGTGGTGTTCTTGGAAATGACACATGATGAGCCTACTCAGCTACATCAGAAGTTTCCTCCCTTCCTAGAGCTTGAGAATCCTAGAAAAGGAAATGCTTAGAAACCTGCCCCCCACACCCTCCCTACACACACCTCAGTAGCTCACAGACTCTCTCCAGGCTCCACTGGGAATCTCTTGCTTTAGTGGAGCTTCCTCCTCTGTTTATTTGAATTTACTTCTCTCTCTGGTCCCTTTTGATGGCATCTTAGTTGTGGTCTCATTCCTAGATGCTGTCTCTTGATTTACCTTACACGCTATACTCAGAAGTTTCTGAGCTGCCCAACTCAATGTCTAGGGCATTTGCCCTGGCAGTATGATATTTAGGACAAAGGAATAGAGAGAAAGTCTGTAACACAGCCCTTTTCTCCCAGCTACTTCCCGCATAGCTTCTCTTGGGCACTAGGGGGTGCTGTTTACAAGGTCGTTTCACTCCATTTTGCACCACACAAACTCTGTCGATATGCTGTTTGTCACCAAATCTCCACTGGCCACAGCTCATGAGAAATGTTTATGAAAGCCTAATCTCTGAAATGTGGATAAATGTAACACGTGTTCTTTAAGTAGAAAAAATTAACCATTAACTAGGGTTTTGACCATAATCTGTAGAACCTACTTGCAATATGACAAAGGGGTCAAGGGGGATTTTTTTTTTTAATTCTATAGAGTATGGGACAAAGTCCACGTATTCATTTCAAGGCCAGGCAAGTAGAGAAGACTCTTTGTTCTGATCAAAAACGAGAAGAGAGAAATGTTTCTCGGAAGGAGGTTGTGGTGGTGAAGGGAGAGGCAAGAGGCTTAACTTGGGAGACAGCGGATGCAAAGAAAGGAAGCACACAGGAGTTGTGGAGGCTGAACGAGGTAGAGTCACAGCTTCTCGGTGTTTCATCCTCCCACCCCCAAACCCTGGCTCCATCTCATTACCTTCCCCTCACCCATCTCCAGGGGGGGCATCTTCTAGGTGACAGAGCCTGAGAAGTGGGAGCAAGTGACTGACATCCTTAACTGGACTCCTAAATAAATCTCCCTGTAAAAATACTGTTCACTGGGTGGCCAAGCCCTGTAGTTCTGTTGGAACGCTACTCATAGCATTATGGGTTAAACATAGCTAACTACCTTGCATAATATGGTTACTATGGAAAATGCATTGAGTTCCACATAACTCACTTCTACAAATGAACCACTAGAATTCTATTCTGACATGAGAACTGCTTGTGCAACTCCTAAATGAGAGAGGAGGATACACTGAAGTCTGTTGGAACTGTTAGGTTCATGTGACAAGGAAAGAATGTGTATCCCTTTTGTTAGAGAGTTTCCCTATATTGCCCTTTGGTGATTCTAAAGATAAAGAAATACATTCCCTCCCTTCCTTTTGGCCAGATCTCGGACTCTGAGGTCACTAATTGCCACATCCAGTAATTTCTATGGCATCAAAACAAAGGTTTTGTGTCTCACTTGCTTAGAAATTTAAGAGGAAAAGTAAAAGTTGGAAAGAAGTTAAATTTTAGCTTCTTTGGGCTTTTTGATCATGACAACTGCTAAAGCACATATGATAAAAGCACACATCTCTACTGAAGTTCAGAGAGTTAAGTTTTTCTAAACTCAGATTATTAAACTATTCTAGCTGCTTCAGCAAGTGTGTGTGTGTGTGTGTGTGTGTGTGTGTGTGTATGTTAGAGACAGAAAATGACTCACTGTCTTCTCAGTGAAGCTCAAAGTCTTGCTAATTCTGAAAAGATGCCATTACTAAGTAAGCTCTGTCTCATTGTTTATATGTGAGCTAGTCACCAAAACATATTTATCCTTTTTGAAACACAATGCAACTTCTAATACTTGGAAATATCTTTACACTGCAAGTTTCCCAGAAAAAAAGGAAAAAGAAACCACACCATAATTTGTAAATAGCAAGAGATGACAAACATTTTCTTTTTCTTGAGAGGTTTTTGCTATAGGGCACGTGCGCTCGCCAGAAAGACAGAGAGAGACAGAAAGCAAGAAATCACCCCCCAGGGGGCATGGTCACGCCGCAATCCCTTCTCCTCCATCCTCTTCTCAGGATCTTGGGCAGGCACACACACACACACCCAGCATGAGTTTAAGCCACTGGGGCCAGGACTTGAACAGCAGTCGACTACATGGAAGTTCAGCGACATAGGCATTATGCAAACTCCCAGTCCCCAGACTTTTTCTTTTTCTTTCTCTCTTTTTTTTTTTTTTTTTGGAGAGGTTTTTCCTTAGGGCACGGGCGCTCACCCAGAAAGACAGAGAGAGACAGAAAGCAAGAAATCATCCTCCGGGGGGATGGCTACACCACAATTCCTTCTCCTCCATTCTCCTCTCAGGATCTTGGGCACACACACACATGCGCCCAGCATGAGTTTAAGCCACCAGGTCCAGGACTCGAACCGCAGTCGACTACATGGGAGTCCAGCAACAAAGCCATTACACCAACTGTTGGTCCCTTCTCTTTCTTTCTCCTTTTGAGGGCACATTCCTTTCTGGGAAGACTGAGAGAAAGACATAGAGAGAGAGAAAGTAAGAAAGCACTCCCCATGGGATATGGTCATGCTGAAATCCCTTCTTCTCCATCTCCCCTTCCTTTCAGGATTTTGGGCATGCATGCACACATGCCCAAGGTATTTCTTATGCTGCCAGATCCAGCTTGAGACCTGTATGGTTGACCATGTAGAATCCAGTTGCCTTAACTCCCATGCCACAGGCTGGGCCCAGGACAAGCTTTTCCTTTTCCTTTTCTTTTTTCTTTTCTTTTCTTTTCTTTTTTTTTTTTTTTAAGGTTTTTCCATAGGGCCCATATGCTTGTTAGACAGAAACAGAGAGACAGTGAAAGAGAAAGTGAGAAATCGCACTCAGGGAGATTGCCACATCACAGTCCCTTCTCCCTCATTTTCCTCCTGGGATTATGGGCACACATGCCGGCATGATTTTGAAGTCGCTGTGTCTGGGACTTGAACTGTGGTTGGCCATGTGGCAGTCCAGCACTGTACCTACTATGCCACCTGCTGGCCCCAAGACAGTTTTTTTTTTTAATGATGCTTTGGTAATAAACATTTTTACATGTAAGATATGTTCTACAAGTATTTAAGAGAAATTCTCAACTGTGAGAACAGTGATAAAGTCCAAAACATCTCTGTATCACATGTTTAAGCACTTACCATGTGCCAAGGACTTCCCATATAATGTATATATTTTTTCTTTTTCTAAGGATTTATTCATTTAGTTGTATCTGTTATTATTATTATTATTTTTAATTTGACCAGAGAGAGAGAAAGGGAAAGTGAGAAAGCAAGCCACCAGGTCCAAGACTCTAACCTTGGTCAGTTATGTGGGAATCCAGCACCCCAACCACCACATCACCTGCTAGCCCAATATATTCTTTAATTCTCACTAAAGCCCTTTGAGGAAATAATTAGTACACCCATTTTACAAATGAAATTAATCAGAGGATTAATGAATGTGCCCACATCTGTACAGCTTGCAAATGACAGAAAGGATATTGGAACCCAGGTCCATTTGAATCAACTAAGTTCCCAGTTATTTTGCTGCTCTCAAAGAGCGGAAGTTCTTTTGCCACTATTAAACATTAGCCACCCTTACCAAAGGTTGCCCTGGGAAATCTTTATAGTTCAGAAATACATGAAAAATACTCCCAAAGGTCTCCCTGTAGGAAAGAGGCCACATGAAGAAGGTGTTCCTGGGGACCAGCAGTTAGCGTAATGGTTATGTCGTTAGACTTCCATGTAGTCGCCGGCAGTTCACGTCCCGGACCCGGTGGCTTAAAACTCACGCTGGGCGCATGTGCGTGTGTGCCCAAGATCCTGAGAGGAGAATGGAGGAGAAGGGATTGCAGCATGGCCATCACCCCCGGGGAGTGATTTCTCACTTTCTGTCTCTCTGTCTCTGTCTGTCTGGTGAGCACACACGCTCTTTAGCAAAAAAAAAAAAAAAAAAAAAAAAAAAAAACCTAAAAAAAAAAAAAAAAGAAGGTGTTCTTGGATATTATTGTCAGTAAAAAAAAATCCTTTAAATTAAAATAAAAAAAAAAAAAAACCTAAAAAAAAAAAAAAAAAGAAGGTGTTCTTGGATATTATTGTCAGTAAAAAAAAATCCTTTAAATTAAAATAATATATATATTGTCTTGGCAGAACCCATGGAGCCCCCACAGCCCTTTTCCTAGCATGACAGCCCTGAGGGTGTAAGCAAGTCTGTGCTGAGCTGCAGCAGTGGCCACAGACATGATGGACTCAGAAGTGGAGCTACTGATTGGGAATGCAGCATTTTCATTAGCCATGCTTTTGGAAGCCACCTCCACAGTGTCAGCTCAAGTGGAAGAGCTCACCTCCAGGTGTACAGAAAACGCACATTTCCTCTGAACATGTCAGGACTCCCTGAAAGAAGGCTATACTTCTGTGAAACCTGGTAACTGACAGGGTGTGCCTAGTCGTTTGAATAATGCCTGTGCAGTAATTTGCACGTTCTCCTTTGTGATATTTGCACATGCACTGAAGGTATAGGGTGTTGCCCTCCAGCAGTTCTGTGAATCAAAATGTAAGTTTACTTAGCTTTCTTAACCTTTGTGAAGGTAGATTACCTGTGCTAGTTTTCATGTTGGCTGGTATTTATTTATTTTTAAATACTTTCCTGCCATTTAAATTTGTGTACAAATCCTTTATGAAAGTTAACTTCATTCGTAAATAATATTAACAGTACCACAGTATGACCAGTAGCAAACTGGGTGGACAACAATATGTTTTACAAGAAGAAACTGAAACAGCAAAACTTGAAGTTACACTTCATTTTGGGGACCAAGAAAGGTAACTTTAATGAAGGTGGACATTTAATGTTAGATCCAGCTCCATTAGGCCAAATTTAAAACCAAGGTTTGTGTTTTACTTACCTCTAATTTGCTAACTCTTACTCAACACTCACTAAATGTTTGTTGAGTAAGAGTTAGCAAATACATTTTTGGGACCAGTAATTAGTATAATGGCTATGTTGCTGAATTCCCATGTAGCCGACCGCAGTTCGAGTCCCAGACCCGGTGGCTTAAACTCACGCTGGGCGCGTGTGCTTGAGTGCCCAAGATCCCGAGAGGAGAATGGAGGAGAAGGGATTTTGGCATGGCCATCCTCCCTGGGGGGTGATTTTTCGCTTTCTATCTCTCTGTCTTTCTCTGTCTTTCTGGCAAGCGCACGTGCCCGATAGCAAAAACCTCTCCAAAAAAAAAAAAGAAGAAGAAGAGTTGGCAAATACATTTTTAAAAGCCTTTTTTTCATATTTGTTAGCATTAAGATTGTTTTTCTATGAAAAGTATGAATCAGAACTTCATTGAAGTAAAATACTTTTACATTTAAAGTTTGATGATAGTTTTTAAAACTGTATGATATATAGTTTTTGCTCATATTTTTTGGTTTTGTTTTTGCTTTTGCTTTAGTTTTTGTTTTCTGACTAGAGATGTGTGTGCTGCCAAAGAGACAAAGGGAGAGGAGAAAGCATCCCTCCTTGCATGGGGAGTGGTCACACACAGTCGCTTCTTTTTCATCTCTACTTTTGGGATTTTAGGCTCATGTGCCTAGCACATTTTTTTTAAGCCGGTGGTTCCAGGACTTTTTATTTATTTTATTTTACTTTATTTTATTTTATTTTTATTTATTTATGTTCATTCACTGTACATCATTACAGCATACAAAATGAGATTTTCCATCCAGAGTATATTGTCTCAATCAAGCACATCAATATACATGGTATTGTCAACAAATAATTTTCCATTTCTTGCTTTCTGTATGTTTTGCTTTTTTTCCCCCATCCTTGATTCCCTATCTCTTACCCTCTGCCATCTCCCACTCTCTTCCCACACTGTCTCTGGTATCTATGTTTGCTTTCTATACTGTTTTCCCCCACATTTTATTGAGTCACTAAAGATCTTAATTAATCTAAATTTTTTCATAGCAAACACAGCTGATATATACATTTCCATGAACACAAGTCTAACTTTAGGCATCCTACAAAGTAGCACCTCGCTGGGGCTATATATCTTACTGCGGTCATCAAACAGATTTTTTTTCTGAAACTTTTTTTTGTAACTTTCCCTAAGCATCATCACAGCAGGTTCCAGGACTTTAACCTTGGGGTTGGCTATGTGGGATCTGGCTGCCTTAATGACCAGGACACCAGAGCAAGCCCTATAATGCTTTTGAAAAAAATCTTTAGAAAATGAAAGCCTAGAAAGAATGCACATTTTCTTCCTATTTATTGCTATGGTTAACTCATTTACAGTTAATAATTCTTTTATTTGATACTTTTATGTGCCTGATTGCTGACTTTAAAGAACCTTATCAGATATATGAATCTGTGCTATTACATTGGACCCTTGCAGATTGTTAATGTAATCATTGTAAAGCAGTTACTTTGTTTCCAATGCATCATTATTTAAATGATGTCATTGTTTCATGTTGTTTGATCTCGGTTACAATGTTCTATTTTTCTTGTCTTGTGTCTTAGAGTGCTTTTTTGGTGGTTGAGTCCTACATCAATGACTAAGTCAACTAATTTCCCATTACATGTAACTTCTGAACATTCTTGATATGGACTTAATTCTTTGTAGAAATGGAGATGTATGCAGACCTGTATTATAAAGTCCCTCAATGAGGTTGTGAAAGGGGACAGATCGACAGGCAAAGAACAGTCATTTCAGTGTAGTAGGTCATAGTATTAATTTGTTTTGAAAAGATCATGTGTATGGTGTGATTTCTATACCAAAGATATACTCCTTTCAGTAATAAAAAAAATATTTTTCTTGTATGTCCTAAAAATTGTTATTTTCAATATTTATAAAAATAAACTTTTTTTTTTTTGGAGAGGTTTTTGCAATAGGGCACGTGCGCTCGCCAGACAGAGAGACAGAGAGAAATCACCCCCCAGGGGGGATGGCCACACTGCAATCCCTTCTCCTCCATTCTCTTCTCGGGATTTTGGGCACGCACGCACACGCGCCTGGCATGAGTTTTAAGCCACCGGGTCCGGGACGTGAACCGCGGTTGACTACGTGAGAGTCCAGCGACATAGCCATTATGCTAACTGCTGGTCCCAAAAATAAACTCTTATTCAAAGCAACATGTAGGACCAGTAGATGGTGTAATGGTTACATCACTGGATTTCCACACAGTTGACCATGGTTCGAGTCCTTGATCCAGTGGCTTAAAACTCATGCCAGGTGTGTGTGCATTCATGTCCAAAACCTCGAGAGGAGAATGCAGGAGCAGGGACTGCAGCATGGTCATCCCTACTGGGGGTAGTGTGTGTGGGGGGGTAATTGCTCATTTTCTGTTTCTCTGTCTCACCAGCGAGCACACTTGCCCCAAGGCAAATAAACTTCTTAAAAAGTATATACTTTCTGTACAAGTATATTCCTTAAGCAAACTTATTTCAGAAGTAGAGTCTGAAAAAAAAATGTAGGGTCTAAATAATGTGATCAACATGAAAAACAGATATAATTTCTTGTAATAAAATAGGTGCCTTATTTGGGGTGAGGGTACAGGCAGGAAGGGGCAGGCATGCACATGGGTGCTTTACACACACACACACACACACACACAGATGAGCTAACACTTAAGAGAGAGAGGAAGGAATGGTTATGTGCTAATCTCACCTCTATCCTTATGAGAAGCTTGTTAATTTGGGGAGGTACAAGCCTGGTGAACTGAGCAAGCTCATTGCATAAGCCTCTCTTGAGGCTGTGGCTGAATTGTGATAGAAGTTTGAATCCCTCCCCTTGACATCCTCCTTGAAAACTAATGAAGCTCTAGAGGTATAAACTCTTTCTCCTGGTAGATGAGCAATGCTTATCAGTTCTTATGGGGATATCTTCATTACTTCTAATCTAAAAATGACTACGGGATTCCAAGAGCAAGGCTTTCACCCTCCATGCCTCCTGAGATGCAGTATGTTAGACATGCAATCAGTTTGTACTTTCCATTCCCCCTATTCCCAACTGAAGCTCTGAATAGGCATGAATTATTATGACTTTGATTTCAGAGAGTTTTGCTGAATTGTCTCTAATTTTCTCTAGATCAATGAATAGGAATAGATTTGGCTTCCTTCAGCAGCTGCTAGCCTAGTATCTGTGAAAGAAGGGTTTGTATCTCCATTCCAACCTGAGCTGACTGGGTGTATCCAGCAGGAACCTGTCCTAGTGGTTCTGAATTTTCTTTCTGTAATGTCATATCCCCTAGGCCCAGAGACTAGAGAAACACCTAACCATTGCTTTGTTGCCAGGGCAGCCAAACAAGTTGCCCTGAATCCAGTGGCTTATAACAGAATCATGGGCATGTGTGTGCATGCCTGACATGTACAGGGAGACCTCAGGATGCAAACCCAGTACCTATCTGTGTGGCTTCAGCATCATAGAGTATCACATTCTGCTGTGCTACCACAACTGGCCAAGCTAAAAGAGTATCCATGTGGCACGAGGAGATCAGATGAGCCAACTCAGTCTGAATCCTTTAGAGAAAGTTGATATTTGAAAGCTGGCAAGACAAAGATCTAACACTTAACCTGAAGGCTAGAGATTGGGAAGACAGAAACAGGATTCAAAAATAAAGCACACTGGGATTCAGTTCATTAGAAGGTAGGGGACAAATAAAGACATCCAAGGGCATCACAGTAAAGAATCGCAAAGTGCTCCATTGCTGCAGCGCAGTACTAAAACTAGTGTCCTCCAGTGCTGGAAGCCATATGGCAACCATGGTTCAAATCCCATGTTGGCCTGGAAAATATGCAAGGGGCATAAAAGCAGAAGGGCTGGATAAAGGATATGTGGCATGACTGGATCATATTGAAGGTGCTTTCTTTCTCTTTCTCTCTCTTTCTCACACATACACACACACATATACACACAAACACACATACACACACACAAACACACGTGTACATGCTTTCTATCCTAAAAAAGGAGGAAAAAAGTGAAAGAACCTCAGGGTGCTCGTGAGTGAGATAAAGACACTATGAAACATAAAAGGAAACAGCCAGATCTGTCAGCCTCAGAGCAAAGTACATAGCCTTCTGCCTCCTTCCCAGCTCTTGGGTTAATTGGAACAGCTCCTGTTTCCAGTTCCATACCCAAGGGTGTGCATCAAATAATGGTATTATAGAAAAATTCCTTCCTCAGGACTGTGATATCGGTCGGGAAATATTCTCGTATTTTGGCATACTTTAACTTCTGCTTGACTAAGACCAGCTAAAATCTCAAGTTCCTTCTTGCAGAGGGTCTTCCTGTCCCAAACTTTGCAGATAAAATTCAGACAAGGTCCCAAGACAAACTCCCACTCAAGGCTCTGTAGATCTCAGTGCAAACTGACTCAAAGACAACCATACCAATAAAACTAAAATCCAAACAACTCATCAAGCTCATATTATTACCACAGCCCCT